TCCAAGGGAAGGCCACCCCCACTCCCCAATTCTGGGACATAAGTCCGAGAAATGTAGCATCTGGCAGAGATGCAACGCAACCTGAGGACCCTCGGCTTGTTCCATTTCCTGACCCTGAAATCCAGGAACGAAAAAACTGGGATGAGTGGCGCCATCCACCAGGCCCCAAGCCACGCCAAGACCTCACCCCATAGTGACGGCGCCCCTAAGTTTTTTTTTTTTTTTTTTTTTTTTTTTTTTTTGATGATCCACTTGTAGTTCCGAGTTTGGCATTTTTTTAATTTAAATACTCCGTATTTTTGCAATGGCAGTTCCGGGGTTTGAAATGGGTGTGTACCACTCAACCAGGAGCATGACGATGTACTGTAAGAGTGGAATTTGCAGCATTGCCAGGCACCTGGTTTGCAAAAAAAGATATCAGCACAAGCAGGAACAATCCCGAAATTTGCGTCCTTGACAATTCAAAATCATATCATCAATCACCAGCCTGCTGCTTGTTGCCGGTTGCGGGTGTTGCGAAGCCACTCTAGGCACCTGGCTGGGCATCTGGGCACTGGACAGCGCTTGGCAAATGCAACATCGTCAGGCGTCGCAAGGTTTCATGGGGTTTACGGGGCGTGGATTCTTTTCCGATTGGCTAGCCATGTTCTAGAAGACAAAGAAGCTTGCTTGCCCCGATCGTGCGCCTATCTGACAACGTCCGACAACGTCGGAAGGAAAAGTCGCCCCCACGGTTCGGTCGTTCTTGCCACTGCCACTACCACTCCTTGCGATGTCCCAGAATGGAGGTTGGAACGCGCGATCAAAGTTGCCCAACTCCATGGCTAGAACGAGACACGGGGGAAAAGCCGAGGAGGGACCCCCGCCCAAACATCTCACTCCATGATCATCCCCGGCCGCTCTTTCGATGTAGATCCATGATGTTCCATCCCCGGGTCTATCATGCATGCAGGAGCTCAAGTGGAGACTACTAGCATTTATCGAAGAGGGACACTCACAAAGTGGATAGCAACAGCCGTGTTTGTGCTTGCTACCTTGGTGTTTTCATATATTTCTTTCTTTTATTTATGTTTGAGATGCACACCAATTATCCATATGTGTCGTTTTATAATCATCCCTAGCCATTGGCTCGTTTGTATCCTGGTAGATAGACATACGCTGTATATCCGCATGCATGGGGCGAAGCAGGCTGACAGGAATCCAGGATAATGGCTTAAACATGATTGCCCATCGGTATTTCACCGGGTGCAGTACAATGCGTCCAATGCAGATGGTTTGATGATGCCTGGATACACAAACAGAGTATTTTCATTTGCATCCGATTCTTTGATTGTAGACAACAGGAAATCATTTGGCTTGAGTGCTGCAGGTATCTGCAATTTACTAGGTAGAGTGTCAACATATGGGAGGCCTTCAGCAACTTCGAAAAGGTTGTCATCTCGTATATCACCGGGTAATATTGACGCACAATTTGATATGTATATATATACAAAGAACTACTACTCCACTTCGACCAACACACACACGCGCGTATATGTGTATCCCACAACAGCAAAATATAATCTCATCAAAACAACGACACACCATACAAGCCAATTACCTTGCTGTCCGGAAATGTTCTTCACCGCTTCGTACATGCAGCACCGCGCACTGAACACCCCTCGAACATCCCACCTGGTGATGTGTGCATCCAAAATTGTATGCATTTGCACAATAAAAGTCCTGGTTCCCCCCACAGCCAGCTGCGACTGTTTTAAAAGAGTGTCTCTGTGTTCTACTACTGGTTGTGAATCGCACGCCGCAAAACCAGAGTTGCCATTGCGAGCTGGATCCGAAGAACACCGGTTGAGGCGTAATTGGAAGAGAATGGGTTAGACACCCGTCCTTTCCATTTCACTACCTTTGTTGATATAAATATATATATATATATATATATACATACATGTACACTGTACGTATATATGTATGTACTTTCCATTCCAAGAAGGAAATTGGCCGTTAGGGGTCGAACCGCTACGACGTGATGCGTATGTATGTTAAATATCGGTCTATAAGAACAAATGTTAGCTCCATCAAGTGAAGATAGCAAAGATAGAAGAGACAGAAATAAATAACTCTCACTTACTTACATCGCTCCTGTTTTTCGAGTTTCTGAACCGAGCCTTGCCGCAATTCCCAGCCAAGCTTCCCTGGTGGGAATTACATTTCAACTCTGGCAATATCGTTCTGGTACTGACATTCCCGAATGATGGGGGTCCTGGTGGGTTAGGAAACACAAAAATATTAGTGCTCGCGCAAAGCAGAAGGATATTTATGGGATTGGGGAGTGGCATTTCCGTAGCTCACTGGAATCAGTCAGTTAGCAACAGGACAGTATGTCGACAAACATACCACAAGCTGATTTCCAACTGAACAACCTCCCTTGCTTCCCACTACCTACCAGTAGTTAAGCCAGGACAGCTCACGATCATTCGAGAACCTCAACGGTGATTGTCTGGTTCAGTGATCACCATCGAATCTGGTGGTTCGATCGGTGATTGGCCAGAGACAGCGCCATTCACATTCGCTGCGAATTGTTCCCATGGAGGATGTGGAGCAAGGACATCATCAGTCGGCTTCTGGCAAGAGAATGACTGGAGCCATGTCCGCCATAGAACGCCCGATTGGTCCATTAGAAGACATGCCCTTGAGGTAGCCTCCTCAAGTGCAGAAACCGATTACCAAGGTGGTGATCACTTCTCGCACTATTAATCCGGAAGATTCCGTGCCTGTTCAGTCCGGCAGGAAATCGGCGGCAAGAATGGAAGAGAAAGGGTCGTTCAAATGTGCTTGCACCCCTAGACGCTGACAAGAACCGTCAAGGGTAAGGTGCTTGCCCCAACCGGTGGGGCAATAAGGGAACCCGTTGCGTTGCATGCTGAATCGGAATCGCCTATATATCAAAAAATCGCGACATACTCGCTGTGGATATATTTGTCGCTAGCTTCGACGCTGGGGTGACGAGCTCTGATAAACTTGTTGAAATCCCAGCAGTCTAGGCTGTTAAACAAACAAACCCCCGCATCTCCACTTCCGGTCGTGGTTCTCAATTGTCACGTTTGTATTTGATGTTTTTTCACAACGTCAAACTAGAGTCATGATCAACTGGATCCTCTTCTCCCGAAGAAGAGTGGGACTTCGATGATGGTAGATCTTTTGAAGATTGCAAAATTGCATTTTGACTAAGGTAAAAAAAAAAAAAAAAAACTAGGATGATCTTGTTGTGCTCCAGGGTTGTGTTATTGAGTTGAACAGAAAATTTAACGTTGCTGGGGAGGAGATTGTGTAGTGGAGTTGAACTTCAACTCTTATATGATCATCCCCTTCTCCGGGCTGCAATAATTGAATGCTAAACTATGCACCTAGGCTTCCGGCATCCAGCGTGTCTGTGAGCTATAGCTTGCAAATGGTGGATAAGCTCTATCCTGTCCCACTTGGCGGCTGTCTCGCGTCATTGTGTTCGGTGAAGCGAATTCTAGAACCACAGAGCTAATGCTCTGGGTGCTCGTTTTGGAAGGCACAAGGAGAAAATAAAATAAAAATAAAGGCATGAACAAAGGAATATAATTCAAACCTTCAAGCTAAGTAAGCAAGAAGCAGCGCAAGGAGAAGAGGCTACTCTTCAATCCATCTGCACATGAGGACAGACAGAAAATGGGCTCAAACAAGCAGATCACAGAAGGCCCGGTCCAGACGTATACCTGCAGATATCCATCGAAATGCAGTCCATCCAAAGAGATTCATCCAGGCCACGAGCGACCCTCCCCCCACGTCCTCTAAAGATATGACTGGGTTTACCCCAGCCGAAGGAGGTTTATCCACGCAATCTACAACCATCCTTGCTGCTCTAGATGGCCATGATCCTTTCGGTCATGGGTATTTCTCAACAGGCCAGGGGTGGTGGGGGAGGTAACCGGGAAAGTAGAGTTGGCAAATATATTGCATGAGTTATGCATCACCTCCCCGGAGTTGCAATGATGCTACGGATGTTTGATCAGACCACTCATATACACGGAAGCGTGGGGTCTTTGGATGTTGGGGTGTTGGGGCCAAAAGTTTGCCCTCCGATTGAGGTCTTCGACCCTTCTTTATGTACCAGGGGGTAGGGAAGCCCCCAACTTTCTGAAACAGGGTTGGTTTGAGTGGTCTACTAGGTATGCTATCTTTATGTGTGTGGGGTAGAATTAAATCGGGTACAAGAAAAGGTGGTGGCTTACATGGTATTCATCAATTCTTCAAAATGGACGTGATCTTACACTATTCCTCCTAATTGCTCTTTTAGCCTCCTGTGTAAAATGGGCGGTTAGCAGAGGATCATCACGGATGAATCAAGATGACCCTTATCCGTCAATATAAATGGAAGAGTGGAGTAGTTGAAGAGCGAGATGGGATATTCATCATCCGCTCCTGCATAAGTTCTTTTAGATGAGACTTGCAGTGAAGATTGGAGATCCAATGGGTAATGAGCGCCGAAGTATCCGTACAACATTCTCCACAAAGGTAACCAGCATACAAGCCATTCAAGTCGGGTGATTATCAACAATTCTTCGGGCCGGTGACACTTACCTATATCCAAAATAAATGCTGGTGACCGCCAGTAACCGAGAATCGACTGAGCGGAGCCATTGCTGCCCAGCATTTTTGTCCAGGTTGCTCAATTTACCAATTCCTTCTTTGAGACCTTCATGTCCAACCAGCAGCCCATAGAGACATTATGAGTGGGGAAGGCAATGAAAAACCCCGAATTGCAATGTGGGCGTGGGGGACCGGCATGTATACAGAGAGGCTACGATAAGGGCTGTTCAATGTCCATTGAATAAGAATTCTTAGCTCAACGAAATGCAGATGTGCTAGCTGTTCTGAGTATAATAAAATTATTGACTGAGAAGAAAATCCACTGATAACGGCGGGAATGTTAAAGATACTAAGTATCTGTAGAAATGAAAGAATAAAAAAAAAATCGACCGACGCAGGACTCGAACCTGCAATCTTCCGCAGACTGGAAATGTCCAGTTGAGAATCTGGTAAACCGGAAACGGATGCGTTAGCCATTACGCCAGCCGGCCAGTAACGTTGGAATTTAGAACAAATGTTTGGCCCCTAGGTTCTTAGGAAACCAGCGACGGCTGACCTGCCGTATGTAAGCGGATAATATGATGATCAGATTCAGATCACCAGCAGATTGAGATTAGGGTTTGGTGGGTGGAGGTGGAAACATGCGCAAAAAGCGGGGAAAATCTTCGCAATCCTGGCTACCCCCGGATGATCTCAGCAGCCAAGGGTGAGTTAACTAATTAAAAAGAAGTCTCCTTTGTTGGGTTGGGGGTGAACAAGCTAAGAGGTTTGGTGTGGGCAGAATAAATGTTGATGGAAAATATTTTCTTTTTGTTATTCTGACTTTATTTTCTAACCCGCAAAATTCGCTTCTTCATACCGTATCTGTAAATAGTGGATGTGCTATGCACGGAGTTACAGCGCGACACATTCAGAAAAAAGAAATTCGATTGATAAAATGCGGGGGATCAGCAGCGGGACATCTGTCAACCCCGGAACACGAGCCAACAAAGACAGCAGATCAGATGAAGAATAACTCCCAAGGTTCGCTGCGGGCAAAAAAATATACAGGTGAAGGCCGCAGCTAGAGTCGGTCCGGAGCTATGTATCGGTCAACAATAAATACCAAAACTAACAAAAGTTCAGCATCCCCTTTTCTTCTTCTTATTATCATTTACATTTTGCCAATTTTTTGTCATTCCCCCATCTGACACATGGCAGGGGAATTTTCCTAATTACTTTGGTTTTCTTCCTAGTTTTAAACTTTTGTTTAGGATAGTATGCCCACCACCTGCAAGGTGCATTCCATGTCTAATCCCAAACATCCGGAACCGGGATTGTTATCCTAGATATGTTGTGGGGAATATAATAATGCTAACAATAGTGGGAGAGATACAAGTTTTCAAGACACCCCTGAAAGTCAGAGTCAAATGTCAGGAAATGTAAAAAAAAAAAAAAAGAAAAAAGAAAAAAAAATTGTGACAAAGAAACACATCTAATTTCTTACTAACTTGACTGAAATCAAACAAAGATAAAAGAGCATGAAAGAGGACCTTGATCGATTTATATCCCTCACCGCCACGATTTTGTTTGTTGTTGAGGGCAAAGACAGAATTGCCCCACCACCATCAATGATGTTGAAAGACGACATATTGAGAGACAGCGATGAGGCAAATAAACATAACATTCATACAAAAGCCAATAAACATCTGACAAGAAGAGGGGGTTTGAGCTCATGGATAAGAAATGAATCAAAAACGAACTTAAAAGTTGAAAATTTGAAAAATTGAAAATTAAAAACAAAAAAAAAAAGGAAAAGGATATAAGAATTGACCCCCACGCAGATATTTGACTAGCTTAAAAATTCTAAATCACATCATCTCCTGCCAATCTCAATCTTATATCTTGGCTTTGGATCTCCTGCACGCAAACGCAACTCCAGAGGTCAAAATAAAGTTACAGCATCAGCCAGTCCCCAGCAAAATATTTACCTTGGTGGAACATGATTCTGGTGGGTATCAAATCTTCGTAAAATTGTTACCGCTAATTCAAAGAATGCACCAGATCATGCTGGATGTTCGTCACTGGTTTTCGCCGGCATTGTCTACTATCACCTCCAGATACCTGCTCGGTCATGCATCATCCCATTGAATTGAAAGCAACCTAAATCACAAATTGCAGTCATAGATTTAAGTTAGCTCATCTCTCTTGCATTCACGGTCAACCTACTATCAGATAAGCAACTTGGCTGAGAGTCCATCTGACACTCTCACTTCGTGCTACTCACCGATCACAGTGTAATTTGATGTCTCAGCGAAGTTTAGTCTTGTTGTCGCCCAGGAACCAACAGTTACATGGTTTTCTTCTGCTGGTCAAATTACCCAATACTCATATAGATTAACCCCCTGTATGAAATCCCGCCATGCTTGCTCTGTTGTAGGCGCTCTCTCATGACCTAATAGTCAAGAGGAAACGAACAAAGACAACACAGCCATCAGGAAGCTACATCTCCTGACCAGCCAATAGTAACCTTATTAATCTTGAGTTTGCCCTCTTAACGACCACAGGTCAAAAGAAAAATATACACCATACATATACTTAATCGTTTCCCGCATCGCCCCAATATACGACGCGCGACGCAAGGCAGTGAGCAGATCTCATAAATATCCCACTTCCCTTAAGTAGAGGATGGGGTGCCCCTTTTTCAGCCTTTCACAAAGGCAGCTTTTAACTGGTTAGAACGATGAACAAACAAGGAAGGGGGGAGATATTGCGCAAGAAACAAATGGACGATGGACGCTGTACTTTCTTCCAGAGTGCCATGCGGAAGCCCGGAAAGACAGAATCTTTTCAGCGCTTTATTTTTTATTTTGCACTTCAAATGGTGCATAGATTGAGAGAGCGACATTTTGTGTTCTCACGCAAAGAACTAAGGGATATATGGTTGCTAAACAGCTAGGACCAGATTCAACATGCGAAACGACAAGAAAAGCCCTGGCCTTGGCTAGCAAATGGTCAAGCGATTCGAAAAAAAAACAAAAAAAAAAAGGCAGGTAAAGATGGCCATATCGAACAAAAAATAAATAAATTAATAAAAACAAACAAGAGAGGGCCAATGGAAAGAATAAAACTTTTGCCAGGTGACTTACTTTCCCTTCTCAGCGTTGCGCTTGTGGAACTCCTGTTGAAATTTTTTATAGTTAATATTTAATTCTGCGGATGAAAAATATGCCTGGCCATATCTGGGGAAAAAGCGGATTACTACTATGTAATTTTGCGTTCCAGTAGTGTGGCTAGATGGTTGAAAGCTGGTTCGTTAACCTTTTGGCACCACCGGGGAGCGAAGAGAAAATGGATACTTGGTTGAATGTACCCCGGATTAGTAGTTATCAAAATGGCGCAATAATGATATTGATGGCGCCGTTTGTTTTTTCCTTCCTTTTTTTTTTTTTTTTGACACTTTCATTTCAGCTTTATTTACCATGTATTGTCGTTACATGTGGAAGAACGAAAGAAAGGAAAATAAGCCTTGGTTGTCAGCTCAGAGTTACATGGTGTTGTTCTCCGTTCCAAGACGGTCCTACGTTTCTGCTCTGGAAGGGTTCCCCGGATTTTTATTGACATGGACTCTTTAAAAATAGAAGTACAGCGGGAAAAAAAAAAAAAAGAAAGAAAATCAATGGGGAAAAGGGGGAGTTCCACTCATCAACCTGAATTTCTCCTATTCACCCTGGCTTTCAAATATCAATCACATCTGAGAGGATGATTCCAACTGATTGATTGAGTGGCTTTGAAACTGTTCACGTCAAGCAAACGGGAAAAAAAAAAAAAAAAAAAAGGAACAAGAGGAAAATGCAAGGAAAAAGAAAACCCCGAAAGGCGAATAAGAACAGCAGGCGGGTGCTCGCATATTTCCGGCGCAGACTACGTGCGCCTCAAACGAAATGGCGGCCATCACATCATCCCCGGATTCTCCGATCCGCCAAGCCTAGCTCAGCCTCCTGGGGATGTCGGAAGAGAACGACGAGAGCTGAACATTTTTGAGGGGAAGGGGCATGGCGGTTGCATGGGGGTGAATGGGGGCTTTTTCGTATACCCCATTACATACTGGCATTATGTTTCAAAAAAATAATTAAAAAAAAAATTCATCTGCTTGTTTAATGCGACGGCGAAACAGCATCATGTTTTGAATTCAGGGTTTTGGGATTTATTTATTTATTTTTTTTTTTTTTCCATAAATTGCAACGCTCATAATTGGCGTACGTAACTAATTGATTTTGCTGTTAAGGGGAGGGCAAATGAATCTATCAATGGGGCCATTTATTGCTGAGTTTATCAGCGTCCAGGGGCCTGCGGGTCGCGGATGAGCGACAGGGTAGGAAATTTTCGTTGAATGCCAATGATAATACGATGCGTTGCATACTACCTGTTGGAAGGATCCGATAGGCAGGCTGTCATTGAGAGGGAGGAAGCAGAGTTACACAGCACCTCCGCGATGGGGAATTTTAAAAGCGCCTTGAGCTGGGCGCCTAATGCTGTGATGATGGGGTGACATGGTGGGTGGAATTGGTTGGCGTTGGTTGGGGGCATGGGGGATGTGAGCTTGGCGGGGTAGTGCTATCGATTTCCCCGCGAAACGAGGCGTCAGTCAGGCCTTCAGGTTTCTTTTTTTATTTTTTTTTTTATTTTTCTTTTCTTTTGTTTTCTTTTTCAGATATTGATGAAGGCGGTGAGTGGTTCATGTGGAACTTTGGGGCGTCGCATCAAAGTTAACTACTCGACTGTCCCCGGCCTCCCCGGAAAAAGAATAAATAAAAAGAGATTAACATTTCCATGCATGATCTGGTAAATAATCTGCTCATAGACGGGGTACGCCTTGCTCAATTGAACGGGGATGTGCAGTGCTTGACCGGGCACTCTGCGGAATAACACTTCACATGGGGCCCCATTTTTTCTGGTCGATCGGGAATTATCATTTTTGCAAAAATACAAGGCAGTGCGACATTGATCATCATGGTACCTAAAAAAAAGGAAAAAAAAAAAGAAAAGAAAAGAAAACCAATTCAGGACAATGGGCTGAAAACGGCATTGCTAGCCCACTCAACAGCTTCTGCTACGACAAGAAAAAACCCGAAACGGAAAAAAAAAAAAAAAAAAAAAAAAAAAAAAAATAGGCGGGAAGGAAAAAATATGTAGGAAAACCCAGGACTATTATCATCACAACTCAGCAACTAACATACCCACCACCTCACCACCGCCAACATCTAGTTGGATATTCAAAACTATAAGTCAATTAGCATTAGAGAAGGTGTCATAAGGCGTGAAAATAATAAAAAGAACCAGGTATTTTCTAGGTATTTTCTAGCCAAAACTTCAATCCCTGTGATCTTAGTCCTGGGCAAAAAACTAGAAGCTGGAGTGTCAGTTGAAGGTATGATTCACGGAATCATAGTTATAGTCATTGAAGAAAAAATAATAAAAAATAAAATAATTAGCAAAATCCTAATTACAA